ACACACTCACACACATATATATAATTATTTGAAAAACAACAAAAGTATTTTTAAGATGGATTACATCAAAAGGAAGAACAGTGATAACTTTAAACAGCATATTCAAACCTTAGATGAAATATAATTAAATGAAATTTTATGGAGAGAAAACAAACATCTAACACAGGGGAACAAATCATAAGGTGGGTCATTATGTAATGTCCCATGGTTTTTTAAGGTACCAGCAGAAGTAAGACCCAAATTGTGTTGGGGGTACACCATCTATCCAGTTTAACCTCAACTTCACCAGCCTCAAATATCAGAAAAAAAAGGAGCAGATGTGGGTGTTCTAGCCCACATCTTTACCACCTTTCACTGTCTGGAGCCAGATGTGGGAAGGTGATTGCTCGCAAAAATGTAAATAAATAAAATAAAAACAATAATACTTTCCTCAACTTTCCAGGATTTTCATGACCTGGGCAAACCCTGTATGCAGTATTTATTTTCTAAGAAAAGCTGACTGAATAATTGACTTTTTACTTAAGTTAATTTCAAAGTAGCTGGTTAAAGTTGGAAGAAGAGAGAGTGAATCTTGTCAGCCACCATTTCCTAACAAAAACCCCAGACATGCCTCCCCAAATTGTTCTTCTCTCCAACAAAAACATGTTAAGAGGTTTCAATCTATCCTCATAAGATACCCCCTCCAAATCTGGAAATTATCCTAGTGACTCTTCTCCGAACCCTTTCCAAAAACTTAAAAACTTTTCTTAAATAAGATGACCAAAACTTAACACAATATTTCAATGATCTCCTTTGGTTTGTACTCGGTATTTCAATGATATACAACCTAAATTCCTGTTTGCCTTATTACTAGCTCACACATATTATCTCAAAGGTTTTTTCCTCACCAGTTTCATCTAGAGTTCCCCAATACATATATATAAGAAGAAAAATATTAAATAACCAATCTACTTATATAACCTTATTTATATTAAGGTTATAAGTCAACTGACCAGCTGATCAAGTAGTCCAAATCTCTCTCAGAACTACATCAGCTTCAGTACAAGTTAAAATACCCATTGATCTAACACCATCTGAAAACTTCATGAATTTACTGGTTATTCAATCATCTATGCCAGGTATTACCATATTTTCTCAGCACAAAGCCCCCCCCTCTAGAACATTCAACATCCTGACTAAAGCCCCTCATCCAATGAATCGATAGATATTGAATACCTTACTTTCATTGCAAATAACATATTTAAAGAATGATATTTTAAGATTTTTTTATTTAACTTTGTCACCTTTGCTTTTTAATATTTCACATGCAGTGTTCCTTAAATAGTCTTGTATATTTGCTACGAAACCCTAAGAGTCCTGACCCCTAGCTTGGGAACCCCTGGTTTGTGCCATTGATGAAATGAGACATAGCAAAATAGTATTCTGGCTTTGTTACTAGTTGGTTGAGCTACAGACACGTAAGACTGATTGGTCCTCTTACAGTTATAATTTTTATTATCTTTTTAAATTATGATTAAGTGTGTACAACTGATAAAATCATGTAACTCATTAAAAGTAATTAATACATTAATGCTTTCTTTCAATGTTTTTCCTCTCTATATGGAAAATTTTGAACCAGTTAATAAATAAATTAGTTTATTTTAAATATTTCTATATTTTTCTTACAAACACGTGAAACCCAAAACACTTACTTTCTAAGTTAAGTCCCCTAAATTCATCTTGTTTTTCTTGATAAAGGTACAATTCACTGCCTTCTGTGTTAGTATCTGAATCTTGCAATAAATTTTGCTGTTTTTCATCAACGTCCAAGATAACTTCTGCATCTTCGTCCTTAAAATGTTTGAATTTGTCCTTCACAGAATGAGATAATTCTTTATCAGATGAAAACCCACCATTGCTGCAATAAAATCTAATTCCAGGCCCAATCTTGTAAAATGAAACAATTTTATGGCTATGTCTGTGTGGTTCTTGTATTACTTTGAGACCATCTTTTTTAAATGTACTTCGTGAACACGATGATACACAGTTTTTCTTACTTCTATCAACAATTTTACATTCACATTTTGATTTTGAAGTATCAGATGTATCTTCTTCTGTAGACTTGTTAGATGGTGTATGGGACTTTGCTGGTCTTTTTTTTGTTGGTAATGGTGGTGAAGGTTCAAAATCATTCATAATGTCATGGAGAATTGAACGCAGTTCAGGATCATTATTCAACAACTGACTTAAGTCATTAGTAGAAGCTGATGCTTCATCTTGCTGATCATCCACAGAAGTATATGTATGACTGGTAGTGGTATAAAGTTTGTTATATGTGACCCTATTATTACTGCAGCTTGTTGAAATAAAAAAATTTCCCTTTTGTTTAAACAGAACATTTGATTTTAAGAAGTTTAAAATTATTGAATGCCAACCTGAGTACAGATTCCCAGTATATATATAGTTATTGCACAGTCTATACGGAATAAATAATATATTGCTTGATACATTCTTAGTCACATTACATGATGTACTGTACCCACTAACTAAACTGTGGTTATACTTTGAACACAAGTTACAATACGATTCACTACGCCTACAAACTCTGTTACCAACCTTACAAATTTCAAACGTATGCTTTTGCATTTTGAAGTTACTGAATTAATAACTTAACTTGTACCAATACCAATATATACAGTTTTGAAACTAAATTTTAACTGTATATTAAAAAATACTTTATCACAATGTTCTAATTCGCTTAAATATAACAACTTTCAGTATATTACTCCTAAGTTCTACTATTCATACTAAATTTAACTTATTGTCCTAGCTTGTACTACTACTAGCCTAGGCCCTA